CAAAAAGTTGCTGTTGTCGATTGTGTGCCGTGCCTCAAACGCTCATGGAGTACAATGAAGGTGCTTCAAAAGACGTATACAAGTATAAAATTGTAACAGGTGACAAATCATGGATATATTCATATGAACCAAATCCAACAAAAGTTGTTGTCGTTCGAAGCGCTTCCAAACATATGGTCGCTTGTTTTTTTTCATCCGCCGTACTGATTTCGGTCCTGATTCATCCAATGATTCAGCCCAATGACTTCTTTTTGTTTCCGTGAACAACGCTCATGATTGTCGGCGGAATGAGCCCTTGTTGCATTTAAAAACCATATTTTGGAAGTGTCGGAAAAAGATTGGAAGAAATACTTTGACAAATCATAATCACTCTTACTTCAAGAAACCATTAAGCAATTTTAAATTATAAGTTAGTATTTTTTTATTATTTGGCTCAAAATATACCATAAATAGCGACCCTCGTACTACAAATTCACTTTATTTTTATTTAATATATGTATATATTTTTAATTTAATTTTAATTTTTTGTACATATATTTAAAACTAATCTTTATTGAATGTAATTGAGATTAAAACTTATAAAGGTACAACATCCTTAAACCGTATAAGCTACTGTTTTTATAATGAACGCCTATTATTGATTGATAATAATACTGTAACTAACTCTATTCTCTCAGTAAAGTCTACCAAATTTGTAAGACTGACATTAACAAATATTTCTATTTAATTTTTTTTAACGTAATCGCAATGTTTAATGTAATCGCAATGGACTACAATTATATATCATATATCTAGCATAGATAAGCGTCATGACCATTTTTGACAGATGTTTTAATTCATTGCACTGTGATATGTTACCCTTGTCAGTTTTAAAGGATTATTAGATTTTTAATAAGTATCTAACATGTTTGTATATTGAATTAATTCTTTTAAATCAATAAATCCTTTTATCTAGTACACTTTAAAGCTTCAAAGAAGTCTATTTTAAAAAAGTATTTACTGCCACTAAAAGCATATCATCAAAAAAAATTTTAATAATAACTGGATTAGCGGCTTTCACATTATAACAATATATTTAAATATCCAATCTGAGCTTTCATAGTTTAATTTGTTGATTAAAATAGTAATGATTCTTAAAACACTATTAAATATAAAATTTGGAGCCAATTCTCATAGTCGCAGCTAAAGACTCAAAAAATTCTAAAAATCTAAACAGATCTCCGTCTAATATCTTTAGAAAGGAAATACGCCTTCATCGTGTTTAGTATAGCTGTGTGCTGAATAATTACTTTTGACACTGTATCTGCACTCCACATAACGCCAATCATCTGTTCTCATGCTCTAATGCTTACCCTAATTTGTGCCCCATTAATCTTTGACTTTGTAAGAACCAAATTTTACAAAAATTTAATCCCACAAATCATTACATATTTTAAATTTAATTTACATATTTTAATTTATTTAATTTGTCATTTTTTGTTTTAACTGATGACCTTGTAAATTTCATATTTTGAATTTAGTTAAATCACTTATTTTTTAATTGCTGACCCTGTAAATCTTATATTTTGAATTTAATAAATTTACTTATTAAAAGTTCATTTTGTCTTTTAACTGATATTGTAAATTTCATATTTTGTATTTTAATCAGCCAATTGGATTTCCATTTGGCTATTGCTGATTAAAAAATGAATGGCGAATCGCCAACACTGTGTTAGGAGTTGCTAGGGACAACAGTGGGTGCTCGGACTTGTGAGTCTGGACACATAATGGTTCATTAGGCCTATGCTGACGACCACCATGTGAATGAGTGAACTGCTTTGGGTGAAGTGACAATGGTGAAGTGACCTTCTACTTGGCTTATGCTGGCAAAAGGATAATTTGACCAGTCTTCCACACTTCAAGTCTTCCAAAAACTGATGGAAAAATGGATAACGAGTTACCAACACTGTTGGAAAATGTGCGTACTTTACGAGCATTTGGCAATTGGTGACAAACGTTACCAGGCGTGGCAAAAGGAAGGGATCTTTACCTGGCCTTAGCTAACAAGGTGAGATTTCACTATTTTTTAGCAAGTATCCATTGTCTCAACTCTTACGATTATAATATTTGGAATTTCTTTTATTGAAGATTCTATATGAGCACTACTTTCCACGTTGGCTACACTTTTTGGGAATCTTTTTCGTTTCAGTCATTTTAATACTTACGCATTTTGGAATTTCGTTCGTTCCTGTCATTTCAACACCGACGCCTTTTGGAGTTTCGTTTATTCAAGCCACTTCAACTCTTACGCTATATGTAATTTTGTTTTTGTTTCGCTTTAAGCTTTAATTAAAGAAATAATACACAATTACAAGGCCGGGTCTACGTCCCGAAGCCACTCGTCGAAGACGATCAAGCGCCGTTCAACCACCTCCAAAGGGACTTCACAAGCAGGTCCCGGCGAGTTACAACAACAACAACAAGGCAGAAGTGTCTCTTCTTATTTAATTCTTATAACGAATCCTGATATACTCACTGAGTTATACCATAGCTATAGATTGAGCCTGAAAAGTTGTTACAACTTCTATGTAATGAAATGGTCAGGTTTCTCTATCTCGACTTATGCTAGTTTCAATTAAGATTCATCCACCCACTGATATCATTCTTTATCCCAAACAAAATTCCCTCTCCACACTCTACCCTCATCATCACTAATCCTAATCCATGTTATCGTATTTGTAACTTCTTTAAAGTTTTCTGCAGTATAGATCTTCACGAGGTAAAACAACAATAGCAACCGATCTATGGGAAATCGGTTGGCATTAATCCTTACATTGAAGATACAGATCACTTCTAACGCGTTTTCCACTAGCTGGTATTGAATAACACAGCAGTCTAGATGGAGCATTCTAATCCATTACCGCGACATGGCTAAGCCAGCAAATTTATTTGTACCATGCTCTATATCAGGGCTGTCCACACCAGATAAAATCGCGGCCTCAAGGACAGTCGGAATATAGAATATGTTATAAAAAAATATTAAACAAACGTTTAAGCCGAAAATAAATTATATAAAAAAATAATAATCTAAATTGTTGAGATAAGTACGCGAACTAAATATTTCTATTAAGCCATTTTAAAATATATTTTGTATATTATAAAAGACAATTTTAACAAATACATACAATAGTGCTAAGTCATATTATCAACAACGAATTGTAAATGTACGATTTCCAAAACATGTTCTTCCTTCAAATATTTTTGGAATTAATTTGCCTTGGCAGTTACATTAATTAGTTTAGTCGAGGTTTATTTTTGATTCTAAAGTACTGTAGCAAACTATTTCAAAAATTTGTTTTCATAGAAAAATATTTATTCATATTAAATTTTAATTGACAGATATTTGTAATACATTCCAAATTTTTTTGTCTCTTAAATGAAGCCAAAAACGATTGTTCATTATTTCCTTTCACATTAGTTGGAATAAAGTTGAAAAACATATTATTATTATCTTTTCAATGTAATATATACTAATATATATGGATATATGTAATATATACGGCTATATCGTATATAGGATAAGCTTCATTTTTCAAAAAGAACACAAACAAATCAAATAAAATTAAAAATATACAAAATAAAATATTTTCAAATAAAAAAAATTTTGAATTTAAATTTAAAAACTTAAAATATTAATCTAATTTAATTTTTATAATAAAAATACTCAACGGTAAATAGTACTTTTTTTAAATATGTCCAAATATCAGAGTTTTGAAAAATTTTTGCGTTCTTATACTTTTCTAATAATGTAAACTATTTTAAAGTTAGTTCGTTTTAATTATAATACGCATTATAAAATTAATTTTATTTGCAAAATATATGCATATGTATTTATATATGATATATATTTAAAACAGAATATTCCGCTATATTCGGTCAACTTAACTCAAAACTCACAACGTTACGATGCTTACAAAATATAACACAAAACCTCATATTTAATTTTTAAAAAATTGTCAATTAAATAAATTAAAAATTCAGGCATAATTATATATGACAACTGTATTTAAAACTTATAAGGAATTTCAAAGCTTTCTATTGAAATCATTTGTGATGTAATTATTTTTATTATTATTCACTTAAAATTTCTTTAATTAATTACATATCATTGGACAAATCTACAAAATTAGCTATTGTTTTGGTTATTACTACATTTGTTTTTATATCTATTACAATATAATATTCAGTATTTAGTAAATTTTATTACTAAAAATGTAAACAGCCATGAGCAGCAATTTGGTAAATCACTCTTAGTTTGTCTTTTTTTTTATTTTTTTTGTTTTGTTGCAATATGTTTTAGTTTTTAATTTAACATTAACATTTGTAATTGTTTATATAGTTATTGACTTATTTTGGATCATTATATAATTGTATTTATTTGTATTACATTGTAATTAAACAGCAACTTAATCTAATGCAAATTTTACTGAAGACTTTTACAGCATATCAATTGGAAGCAAAATTTCCTTATTAATCAAATAAATATTATTTATAATTGAAAATCATATTGCTCAATAATCTAGTTAATATATTTTGTATATATGCAAATATAAATATAATATACGTATAATAATAAGAGGTTTAGGCGGTTACTTAAAATAAATTAACAATTACGTACTTATATATTAATAAAATTAATTAAACATAAAAAAACAAAATATTTTCCTTAATTGATACAAACAGAAAATAAATTATTTTATAAACTAAATACGCATGTCTGCATTAGCGTAGCTTATTGAGTTATTTGTATTCGAAAACAAAAAAAAAATTTTTAATAAATAAAACAAAATTTTACTAATTTATCTAAGGGATAGTAAAGCAGATTGGTCTTGCTATTACTTTCAAAATAACAACTTAGCAATTAGTTAAATAAAAGCATGTAATGTACATAATTTATATATGAATACAAAATTCATTTTAATATATGTATTTACTAAATAATAAGATCATTTATAACTATCTACAATCTGTTCTGTACGTAGTCGATAAAGTCTTTTGGTGACAAAATAAACTGTATAGGAAATACAAATGCAAAGCACAATTTTATATTTCATGCGAAATATATAAACATTTAAGAAAATATATTTAAATTTAAAACAAAGATTACAATATAATTTTTATCCATAAAAAAGAAGCCTCTTTTTTACTACCACTTGGATGCATTCATATAGCGTTCAATCTATTTTCACAGCATTTTCAGCATTTTCAGCATTTTCTGAATTTTCTGCATTATTCGGCGGCACATTAGAGTTTGTTCCATTATTTAGCCGAACAGCAGTACGCATTTTGACACTGAAGCAGATACGATTGAAGTGTTCACACATTTGATTGACCACACTTGCACCATAATGCCAATGAGTTGCTGTAGTAGCGATGAGCAAAAAGTACAACATCGGCCGCTCTAAGACAGGTAACCATACACCAATCGCAATGCAAAGAACGTATACAGGTGTCATCCAATGGAAGCATTCACAACGAGTATTTGACATTTGAGAAACAATTAAACGACACTGAAATTAATTAAGAATGAATATTAAAACAAAATTTACATTTGAATGATATATAGCTATATTTAATTAATATATAAAAAGGTATAGATTTTTAAAATTAAATATATAGTAAATAAGCCTAGCCTTATATAGTCAAACTTTCATAACTCGAAGTCCAATTTTGCAGACTTCGAGTAAGAGAATTTTTTTATTTTTATTTTCTTATTTATTTTTTTATTTATATTTTTTTAATTATTTATTTATTTGCAATCAAATAAAGCACAGTTAGAGTTAAAGTGAAGTAAAATATTCAGTAATTAGGGTTTGGACTTTAATTTTTTTCTTCTTTTCGCTAAAAAGAGGTTCCACTTTATTCATACTCTTATATTGATCACCAGTTGTAGTATCATTCAGAATTTTGAATGAGTCTTCTACTTAATACTTTGAAGGCTGATGAACACTTACATCCACCGAACCCTCATCATCACTTTCCGTTACGCTTGGAATTGGATCCAGTAATTTAGAACTATAGTGCTCAATAATATTGTCATCTGTAGGAAAGCTTGATGTACGAATTTCATTCTCAAGCTCAATATAATCGTTAAGAGTAGCATTGGAAATTATTTTATTTACTTTAAACCACGCTGCCAGCGACTGGCATTTGCACAAAGAAGCAACGCAAGAAAAAAAAATCAAACATTTGGTTTGGAAAAAGGGACTTCCCCTAACAGCAAAATGCATTTATACTTAAAACAAAAATTCGACTTATAGAATAAAGTTTCCCATATTCCTATCGGCACGAAACAAAACATTTTTTCGACTTATGGAGGCAGGATTGTATGTAATTTGCTCTCTAAAAAGTTCGAGTTATGGAAGTACTTGCTAAAATTCGGGTATTATTTATATGTACTTACTACATATCTTCAAATATTTCTCATGAGAATTTGAAAAAGTTTCTTGATATATTATAAAAAACAGTGAGAAATTAAGCTTTGATAATTGCAGCAAGTGATTTCAATACATCAGATTGGAATAGAACACTCTGTTCATAACGCGTGGATGAAGAGCTCTCTTAGAACTTTTACAATGAAAGCAATCAATTGTTTCATTTGTGTTTCCGTTCAGACCTCCAATTGGTGGTCGTTACTCTCATGGGCACATATCTACCTTAGTGGTTATAAAACCATGCCCTCACTACATCGCTTGTAGCAATGCGCGTACAACAGTGATGTTTAATCACTGAAACTATATACAAACAGCAAAACACATAAATATATAAAGGATGACATACAGTCTATTTACTTCTTCATAACACTGAAAGAGAAATTTGTAATGAAATCGCAAAACGCAACAGAGCGGCTGAAGAAACAAGTATCTCAAAAAAAAGATAATGAAATGCATAGATATGAAAGACCTCATGAAAGAATCAAACAAAATCTGTAATAGTAGAAATAGGCGTATATCAAAGTTTTGAAAGACTGAAGAAATATCGCTTTGATTTCTTGATATAAGCACTATAGATATAAATTCGTTACAGAAAATCTTCTATACAATTACCAAGAAAACATATTGGAGCTAAAGAAAAAAAACAATCATAAGAATTAAGAATTAAGCTCTTCAAGCATTAAATAATGAAGCAGTCTATCATAATTAGGCAATTGGTTATAAAATAATAATGAAAAAAGCAAAAAGTGCTTATTCCCAGCACAAGAAGCGAATAAAACGAAGGTTCCAACAACGGCTGAGTCTACGTCTCGGAACCACTCGTCCTCCAAAGGGGTCACACAATCCAAAGGGGCGCGCTACAACAACAATAATAAAACGAATAAAAATGTACTACGTATCATAACCGTTTATCTATATTAGACCGCAAGTAAACTATTTACTGTTTATTTCTATAAAATATTATATATAAAAATATAAGTAAATGTACATATACAAATACATAAAATTATATCAATCTTAAAAAAACCAGTTATACGATTTAGAAACTTATATATATTTATTTATTTAATAATAGGATTATTTGATTAGAGAAATTGACGTGTCAATTTAAAAAAAAAACTCTGTTTCATTTTAAGTTTTTTTATATATAATTTATCTAAATTAAATGTTTTGATAAAATTATAAATAAAATTTATTGAAGAGTAAAACAATTTAATTGATTAATTTAAAAAATTTCAAAACGACATCTAAAACAAAATATATATAGACTATAGTCGACTAATTGAAGTTCAAATATGTAACATACTATAAATATAGAATATATTCTATATGTTAATTGTCTTTTTTTATAAATATAAATTAAATTCAATTAGAATTATAAAATAATTATAATTCAATAATTATTGCTTTGATGGTGAATAATTTAAATCAACAACAAAAACATACATATAAAATAATTTATATGTATGTAATAATAATTTATGAATAATATAACAGGGTCAAAGCATTATATACATAAAATGCACACGGCGGTAATTTATTTTCTTATAAATTTATATATATAAATATCAGACTTCTACGCTATTTAAAAATTAATATTTAGACTTTGATATTGATAAGAAATTGCAATATTACAAATCTTTATATATGCATTAGTTTATTAACGAATATCATTATCTGCAATTATATGCTAATCTGAGGCAGACAGGTTTTATAAATGCGATTCAACTATGAAATAGAAAGGTATTAATTTTTTATTTTAATATTTTAATAAATCGTTTAATTTGAATTCCGCACTCTACCTTACAATGTACTTTCAATGTTAACAACAGCCCATATGGAGCACATGATCTGTTAATAAATGTAGTACGATAAGTAAAACACCTGTTAGCATTATATTATAAATACAAGAAGTATATAAAATAAAATCAGAGTGTAAATTTTTTCTTATCTTTTCAAAATCTAAATAAAAAAATTTACTATAAACCTCACGCGATTGAAAATTTACTTTTGTACACCTCATATCTGTTATATACCCACACAAAATAATTCCTGATAAGCATATTTTGTCATAAGTGATATGTACATTCATGATTCATAAATTTTTATATTTTTAAAATTGAGTCAATAGAATACTAAAAGACTATATAAATATAATGTTTATTTAGACATAAAAATTTTTAAATGGGGTCAATACTCACACTGATATTAGAAAATATAGTACCGCTTAACATAAACAAAGCACGCGGATCCGTTTCAATAATATTATTTGGAGAAATGGCTGGCCATGCTAATAGCAAAACCATGTATGCAAATAAGGGCCAAAGTGGCCGCATGGCTTCCTTAAATTTACGCATTTTGCCAGTCCTTTGCACATACGAGCTATAAAAAATAAAGTTATTTAGTTTGCAAATGTGACATAAATATATATATATATATATATATATATATAAACTGTACTTACTTGTAAACATTAACTACAACCATTGGAGTGTTAGCCATTGCACTGAAATGTAGAACGAACTCCATAACATTCCCCAATGGCACACCAATTGGTAGATCTTTCTGCCAGAACTCGAATCCAAACCACCATGTTATTAGGTACATAGCTGTTGATCCCCACATACTTAAATCGTAACCCCATGGCAAATATAAAACGCCCGTATTGTACTTTTCCCAATGGGAGACATAAAAGTTAAAGAACACCATCCAGCATACATAGTACATGCGCATGGGTGCAACAGAATAATGCGGACTTCGTCCGAATATACTGTACAAGCATGTAGGTATCAGCACAGCTGTATACGAGTCTAAGCCATGGTCAAAGAGTTCACCCAGAGGACCAGAAAGACCAATACGGCGCGCTTGTTTACCATCTATACCATCCAGTGTGTACGCTAAAAATATATTTATGGCTGTGGCTAACCAAACCCAGGAAGGTATAGGTGTTGTATCTTGAAGGCCAGAACTTGCATAGAAATTCCAATCATAATAAGATAACAGAAAGAAATTTAGTGCCGTACAAAGGAAGCCAAGGAAAGTCATTACATTGGGCGCACACCATTTTGGAAAAAACTGTAAAAAAATATATAAATATATAAATTAATATAAAATTATATTATATTAGGCAGAGTTTTAATATGTATATGTATATATCTACATATATAAATATATAAAAGAAAATGTACTATTTTTGTGCTAATTAATAAAAAATATTCTCAATTTAATTTGAACAAATATTATGTTTAGTAAATAGATTAGATTATGGAGACAAAAAACTAGACAACACAATTCACCTAACTTTTAATAAATAATCATTAAAGTTAATAATTATAATAATTTTGTTTTTTTTGAAAACATATTTTTGGAAACATATTTTTGGAATTTTTTGTATAATATTATTATTATTATTGTTAGGGTATGTAGCACTGCGACCGTCGGGTCTATTGTGCCTCCTTCTGGGCTTAGAGTAGGTCTTTAAGCCCTGTTGCGTCAATAAAAAGTAGTATAGAACCTACTTTACAGAGTTTTATTGCCTCTTCCGTAAGAATATACATTCCTAGGAGCCTATTTCGTATGTGCATTAGCATAGAGCATTCTAACAACACATGTGTGGCCGACTTCTCATTCTCTTCATAGAATCTACAGTTTGCATCCGTAAGTACAGCCAGTTTTGTAACGTTTTGTATAATAGTGTTCTATTAAAAACTAAAATGTTTATATATATCAACACCGAAATATATCATATATAAATAATTTATATATTAATATATAAATAATTTATATATTAATATATAAATAGTTAAATATAAATATAAATGAAAACATAAATAATACATATAAAATTAAAATTAAAATTATAATCAAAATACTTAGTTCTCATCAACGGACATACAGATCGACTGACATTAATAGAATGATACGTCTCATCAAGTTAATAAAAAAATGTATATATCCATTTGTATAGACTATCCGATTTTTTTCATTCTTTTCAAAAATGATTATATACATACATTTTATAATAATGTAAAGCGTAAATATATTTTAAAAATACCATTAACAGGAACAAGATAACCTAAAAGCCATGTTTCTTTACATCGGATGTTTTTGCAGTCTAGTTTTCTATAACATTGATATTATCGTACGAGTTTTACATAACCGTACCAAAAATTTTTGGGTTATTATAAATTAACTAAGTGTTTCTCATAGCTTCTTCTATAAAATATTTTTTTTTTCTGATTTAATATTGTTACCTCCTGACTCTCTGACTCTTATAGTCTCCTGACTATAATATTGGATCAAGCATCTAATACTATTTTTCTACCGTCTATTTCAACTGCTATTTTTAAGCCAGTGTTATATTTATTTAATGAGCGTATATTTCGTACTACATTATTTACTTATATCAAAATCAAGCTAAAGTTGAAACATTATTTCAATATATCTATGATAGTCCATATTATGCATCATCTAACTAAAGGTTATCAGTGTTACGGTTCCAAAAGTAAACAGCTGGCAATAACTTCTCTATAACTCGATGGAAGTCCGTTTTAAAACCTAACCCCACTAAAAAAGTCATGGTAACATAAATAGCATGAACTCGTGAAGAATTTAAATCATCAAATTATGAAACTACAAGTTTTGAAAATTTCTTGTGGAACAAGCTTAAATCGAAACTGCTGTATAGATTTTGCGTCAAATTTTACTAAAACTATATATATCTTCCATATCCATATCTTCAACTTCACACCAAAACAGAATTGATAATCTTCTGACCGTGGTGATCGAATTAACGGTTCGAGTCACATCTTCTCTATTAGAAGTAGAAAAGTGTGGGCCAATTACAACTCCAGACAAAATGCCATAACATACACTGATTTTTTGTACACGTAATAGTCTTTGAACAATTATGTGTGAATTTTCGTAGTCCCAAATGCGACAATTTGATTTGTTGACGTATCCACATTATCTATATCGTCAGCAAAAGCCAGTACATGTATATACATAGAGATAAGGTCTAAAATTGTGCCTAAATTAAAATCAATGCTCTTTTTAAAGTTTTTATTTCGTTTTCTTCTATACTCAGGCTTTGAGGTCCAACCGTATAATCAACAATACTATGTAAGAAGTAAATGATTTAATAAAAACACAATTCCACACTCAGTAATTTATGATATTAAAATTGAAAAACACTATAAGTTGTGACGTACATATTTGCATTCGTTCGACAAGAATTTAATGACTAATTTCTTCTAATTCTTTGGGAAAGTACAATGCAAACTCATTGAATTTTCACTGTAAATATTAAAAAATCCGGAATCTCAACAATATATCTACTGCGAACAAACAATTTTATTTTCAATTTTAATTTTAATTTTAACATTTTAGTTTGTTGTACTTTTCGAACTTATAGTGTTTAAACATTACATCACATTACAATATACAGAGATTTTAGGCCCTCAGTAGAGCAGTATACTACTAGCTTCAAAAATCTTTTGGACTGCAGTGATATATTAAGTTTCCCGAACGGGAGGAAAATGTTTTCATAAGCAGTATGAGAAATTCAGTTTCAGTTGCTCTATTTGTGTATGACAACTATAAACTATTTTCTGCCATTCCCTACGCCCATTACGGCATAGAGGATGCATTATACTTAAGTACATAATAATTTTTGATGTTGTTTCTTAGCAGATGTCGTCCCAGAAATACCATACTTAAGTTATTCAATACTTATTCATATTATTACGTTTACGCAAACTTATATATTATCCTTTCCAGAGTATATAAATGGGCAATATTTTTGTTTTGCATACAGAAATAAGTAAGTATAAAATAAAAGAACGAGCAAAACGTTAAGCGCACTATCTACCTGCTATGCACCGCATTACTAGTGAAAGAAAAAAAATATAATATATCCTTAAACCGCTACCTGCTAAAGAGATTATATATGTTTAAGTATATATTTTTAGAAAAAGGTTTTAGTTTCTTAAATGAACCTACTGAGGACCAGTTTTAAAGCAAACCAAAGTAAAGGTATTTAATCCTGGACAAGCAGTTGAACTAGGTACTGGCATTGTATGATGTACATATTGTATTTTACATATTAAAATAAAAGACAAGAATAAGAAGAGCAGATACCAAACAAAAAGACCTATATTTATAATAATAAATGAATAAAAAATTACTTTATTTCATTTCTGATATTTTTTTTTTGGTATCACAAAATTTTTAATATATGGTTTATATTAAGAATTTAGTTTCTTTCGTCAAAATGGAGGTTCAAAATTAATTTAATATATTGTATAAAATATTTAATACATTTTTTGATTTTAACCGCGCTTAAATAGTTTATTTTACACATAAAATTATCAAAAAATTTATATTCTAAAATAAAATAAATATGTTGCCAAACACCCGTACACCAAAAAATTTTATAAAAATTACTACCTCAACCTATCTATCTAGTCCAAATTATTAATCTCTATAAGCAAATTATATTATTGCATAGCGTAACGAATAAAAGATGGTATCAAGCTGATACTATTGTATTAATCGAAAGCTTCGAATAGTTTGAAAAACCGAATACGAACCGCACTAACATTAACAACTATAATAAAAAGGTTCACAGTCTAAAAATAGACTGGAAATTCACTATTACTATTCACTAACACTATTATTATGTATTGTTTGTTAGTAATACCAATCATACTAAAACTGAACGCTAAGAAAATGTTTAATATAATATAGAAGAATGGTTACAGAGTAATATTAGCTCTCTAAGGAGTTCTCTAAGTTCTCTTTGGACTATATGACGAAATACCAGACTGAGTAAGCACCTATATGATCTAAGCTTATCTAGGAATTCTATTTGCTGGCTCAATGAACTAGCACGCAAAGCACCTGCATATGTAATAAGTGAATGGATGTATTAATTAGAAGTACAATTAAAAACTTTAGTTAATATAATATTGTTTTTACTATTGTTAGAACAATAGTTCTAGTATTTATTGTTGTATTTTTAACAATTTTTTCCACCACGCTATATGCCAATATTATTTACATTTTGAGACATTGCGATATTGTATACTTTTTACATATATTACATTAACAAAGCAAACAAACAACATCTAAAGTCAACTAATATATACAATTTTTAGATGTATGTTATTAATAGTTTCCATTAATGGTTTCCAATTTTAAAACTATATATCACAAGAACTAAACTATATTAACATATAACGTAGTGGAAAATTTTTTCACAACAGTTGAATTCGATAAAATACAAACACGCCTGAGTAATCGGAACTGTTGCGATGGGTTAAAAATTTGACTTTGTTTGGAGGCAGATAACACCTCTAGCCACATTCTTTGTGACTGACCGAATTTAATTTGCACCGCAAGGACATCTTTATTAGTTGACATTTTCACTTGTATGCGAAGAGCTAAGAGCCATCTGTTTAGTATCCTTACTAGTTATACCACAGGTTTCTATTTTAAAAATATGCAATACTTTTAAGTTGTTGACCGGTATGACTTTAAAAAACCACACATATATGGAGCATAAACTCTCTGTTCTCTGGCAAAGAACTGCAAAGTCTGATTTTAAAATAATAGTTTAGGTTATCAATCATATTATAGCTTCTAAAATCCATAAAGACTTCTAAAAGCCTTTATAGCAAAATGAATTTGTTACAGTGAAATCAATTAACCAATTATAAAAGAATTTATATTAACCATCCTATAGAATTGTAGATTCTAAAATGTGATTTGCCTTGTTAGCAGTTTTACCTGAACGCACTGTGCCGTTAATGTGATTTTGAAGTAGTAGTAAGAACTCCTCTTTATTAGAGTATTTCCGAAACAACTCGATACATGCTTTTGCAATATAGTTGCAGTATAAAGCATAGACTTCAACGCTAGGACAAAAGATCAGCCCTAAATACAAGAGATTTGGGTGTATTATATGAAGTAATCGCTTGAGGTATAAATTTAGTATGGCATGTACCATAATAATTATTATTATGGGGTTTTAACTTATTCATGCATTAGGACAAATACAGGAGACATTAAAATTA